AGGTGGAAAGTCTCATCCGGGTCAGGCCATACCCATCCGGCCCTGTCCCCCTCCCCCTCCGGCTTCTGGAGGCTGTTCCGGCTGTTCGCGGTAGCAGAAAGAGCTGACGGTTTTGTGGACCTAGGATAGATGGCGCCACTAAAACTCCGTATAAAACAAAGTTTTGTCGATGATACCAGGTTTTTGACGCATTTTTGTATATATGTTGGAACGACAAGATTTATAGAAAGGTTATCTTTTATCGAACAGGTATTCGCACAACTTTCTACCTTTCTACAAGAGTCCCGATTGACGTCACGCCGCGTGTTTCTCATAGCCGCCGCTCGCGGCTACAGGTCGGGGAATATTCTAAGTTTTGACTCGCTATTACACGGCGGAATTGTAACATTTCGATGAAAAGAGGTGTGTTTTCTGTCATTTGTGACAAGGTGAACAATATCGAAAGTAGAACATGCCACTTCTTTCAACGTTAAAATCGTTGCACAGCTCCTTTAAGCGAAGCTTCTGGAACGAGTAGTAAAGATATTTGATCTACATTGACTTAACCAAACATTTTTTCTGTAAAAATATTCCAGAGCTTCGATCAGCTCTCCTGAATCTCTGAGCATTAGACCTTTTTCCGACATGCACTACATCCGACGCACGTTGTAGAAACTTAGGCAGAATGCTCTGCCAGGGTCCGTTTTCATTATGTACGGACAAGCACCTCCGGCTTGTGATCCTTCAAAAAAATATAAGCCTTAACACTTAACTATTTCGGCTCGAAATCTACTTCGAAAGAGAAGTCGTAACCCCTTCCTTAAGAATCGTGACAATACCTATTTTTATTTTACGAATGTTACCCTCCCATCTAACAAATAAGGATTCCAGAGTTTCTACCGCTTTTCTCTCAAAAATCAATGCCACAAGGATCGCAAACTTTCCTTAATTGGTCGGTGTGTAATAGTTCGAGCGTAATCTATTTCAATACTTTCTTGACCGCATTTACAACGCGAAAATTCCTTCGTTCTGCTTGACATGTACTATCCGCTAATTTCTCCATTCTGTCTACCGCAAAACCCACAAAAGCAACCCTTGCATAAAAATCTACTAACCTAAAAATTACTTCAATTATGAAAAAAAATGCAATCTTGAGGGTTTTACATTTAAACAGTACTTTGGTCTCGTGTTAAATGTCTCCTTTGTCTCCTTTGACTTATAAGAATACAAAAGAGAATTTAGTGCAACATTGTAAAAACTTGTTTATTCCAATGGTTTTCCACTGCTGCATTCCAAAACAGCAACATTCTTAATGATATATAATATACATCGTCGTTTCACATAGAACGTTTTTGTTGTGAATAGGTTGGTTGTGTGTAAAAGTTATTTTCGTGCACTGTGAACGAAGGGTCTAAATTTTTCGCGTTGCAGCATTTTTAATAAAGGATGTGTCTGCGAGGTAAGTTGGTGGAGATTGTATAGAGAATGACTGTATGAACATCTCTGAGAAGACATGTTTTAGAGACGTGGTTTACGGATAATACTAACGTTGGAAACTTACCAATGTACAACGGTCGCTTTTTAAACCGCACAGAATGTCGTGGCGGGAGTGTTGCCCTAGTAGTAAACGCTGAGATTTCATGTGAGATGCTATCTGATTATTGCTGCGTTCACAAAGACTACGAGGTGCTGTCCTTACTGATAGGAGAGAACATTATAGCTGTCTGTTACCGCCCGCCAAGTGATAACCTATCTTCCTTTTTCGCTTAATTAGAGTCTTTCCTTGAGTTCGCGAATGAAAATATATAGAATGTAATCTTTGGAGGATATTATAATGCTAACATGCTACTTGATACGACATGTAAATTAAAATTTGATGCGTTATTTAAATCGAACGGATGTGAAAATATGATGAATACTGCAACAAGAATTACAACTGAATTATCGACAATATTGAATTTATTTATTACAAGCTACGATACATCCTATATCAAATCTGGCAGAGTGATAGCTGATACAAGTGATCGCTTGGGTATATTATTCTGTATAAAAAAAGCAAACTATAAACATAAAATATAATTATCAGTAAGCCATATAGTTTCATAATATAACGCCTGATTACATAAATGAAGTCAGACAGAAACTATCTTGTCTTGATTGCGACGATGTCCTTTATGAAATGAACGCAGTTAAAGCAAATGATTTGTTCTTGAACAAATTAAAAAAAACGTATGTAAGCTGCTTTCAGCAAAAAAAGATGGCCACCCATAGAAAAAATTGTAAACCATGGATAACAAAAGGGTTCCTCACACAATTTTGTAAAAAAATGCGTTATATCAAAAATTTGTAAAATCAAAATCTATCGAAGAACTACCAGTGTTTAAACGTTATCGATATGAATTAAACAAAAAACTCCAAAATGCCAAAAAAATCTAATTTTGTGACTTTTTTTCATGTAATAACAGAGTCGACGTTGTAGGGAAAAAACAACTAACCTTTGTTTTGGGCCGTTCGTGCGCCACGAAACAAGTTTTAAAGATCCCCCACAATGGTCAAAAGCTGCCAGGACAAGCACTGTCAAATGCGTTTGATGAGTATTTTGTAAGTCTAGTTAAAGAATGTCCCGAGTCAGATGCTTGCAGGTATATAAGTGCTAGAAAAAATCAATCCATGTTTTCTATGTCACTTACTGCTTCAAAGATAATATCTCTCTTTAATTTACTAAGAATATCAAAAGCTGCGACTCCCACGGATTTCAGATCAAACCAGTTAAATATGTAATTGATCTTATTTCTCTTCCTTTCGCGCACATATTCAATCTCTGTTTCATAAATGGCGTGTTTCACTGTTAAATGCAACCAGTGAAGGTAACAGTCTTATATAAAAAAAAGGAAATAAAAACAAAGTGAGCAATTATCGACCTGACAGTAAACATTTGAGAGAAATCTCTCTGGTTGGAAAACACAATAATTAAAGTACGGCAACCAACCATGTCCAAAACATGTAGGAGCCGTACATTTCGAATCTACTTGATTCTTCGTCAGGGGTGATTGTTGCCGTTGAGCGGCAGCTTTTTTTGCTCTTTATCGACCTCTTTATTTTTGTTTCTGTTTTTCTTAGGGTGTAGAAAAAGATATACTACTTCGAACAAAAACATTTGCTGATAATCATAACATAATTATCTCATCGAAGTTTGGTTTTCGCAAACAACAATCCACAGAACTGGCTGTCCCTGCGGAGAAGGGAACATATACCCAGAAATCTTGAAAAAAGGCAACTCACCCTCGGCTTATACGCAGACTTTACTAAAGCGTTCGTCTATCTAGACTCTAGGTCATAATTTGCTACTAAAGAAGTTAGATATATATAGATTGCGTGGCCATGTATCAAAACTTCGATTTTCATATTTATCTTCCCGCAGACAGTATGTCTACGGGAAACGGCCACTCACGCGAAATAAAACCGATTGAAGGGGGGTCATCAAGGAAGCCTTCTCGGGCCTTTTGTATTCAATACACGTATAAATGATATCGTAAATATTAATCACTCAACTGATTTTTTTATTTATGCAGATGATGCGAGCTTTTTTTCGATGGTGATTACGCGCCGGAGCTTATTGATGACGCGAAAGAAATAGTAGGAAAGCTTGGTAGATTGAGTAAACATAACGAATTAAAAATAAACGCCGTGAAGACAAATGCAGTCATATTTCGACCGTACAATAAACATATCAATATGACCAAGAATATTGTTATAAATTCTTAAATAGAATATACTTTTTCCCCTAAAATTTACAGCTCGAAGTCCAAACGATTATCCGGTTAAACAATAAATCGCGAATAAAGCAGTGATTAATTAAGCGGATGGTTTAGCAATCAATTGCCATGCTTAACTAAAATTGCATAACAGTGCCTTATCTTGAAAGAAAAATTGAATTTAGTATTAAAAGTGCACAGCGCAATATAAAGTCAAGCGAATGATGATTATAATATGTGAAGATTATTGAAATAGGACGTTCATTGAACGGTGGTAGAAAAGTTACCTCGCCATGGGAAGCAAGACAAACATGTCAAACAAACAAACGCCACACCTTCACAAAAAAAAACTTCTTTTTTTTTTTTTAGAGGAGTTTGCATTATTTGGTTTTTTGCAGGATGTTATATTGTGACGGCACGGATATAAGCGAGACTTATTTACACACCCCTAGTAGACTGCTCTAGAGCACCCGCACATGTGCTATTGACATCGAGAGAACTTTACGAATGCAACTTTAGATATTGTTAGGAAGGTGAAGACGACGACGGGGCAGTGACGCGCACGACCAGCTCACGCCAGGCCTCACGTGCCGGCTTCGCCTCCATAAATCCGTTGTTTGTTCTAGCATCGTGTACTGTCCTGTCCTTTCTGCTGCCGACAGCATCACCCTAACAGTATGGTGAAGTTGCGGAGGCATCCTCTTCCCCTTCATTGCACATCTGCGCCGCTATGATCATTTCATCCCGCCTTGTTGAGGCAGTCGTCCGCAGCAGCAGACCAAACACCAGCCCATGCCTCCGCTACCCAGCCCCCGCCCAGAATTGCCATTAAGATAGAAGTACAGTGCCCTGAAAACGTCTTCGATTGGTTTATTCAGCGTCCTCTACCGCCTACGCGTCAAAAGCGGCTCCGAAGTGGCAACACATTGTATCACAAGAGCCGGCGTGTCAAGCTACTGAGTGTCACGATCCTGGCAGTTGATCGACGTAGAAGATCATGGACTGCCGAGCTAGAGAGCAACCTGTAGCGAAACAGGCGACTGCGGCGCCTACCTCCGCAGTTGTGTCAACACCAGGAGTCATTTCTATGGCGTTGACGGGAGGAAATAGAGAGACAGCATTTGAGGATCCGGTGAAGACTCTAGTCGGTAAGGCACTCTAGGCGCCATAGTACAGGTAAAGCGATTTATGGAGCCGATGTACAAAAGAAATGTTCATCGTGATGAATAATTGATGAAATAATAAAGGAAAGAAAGACTTAATATGTGTTAAAACCAAGTCTTTTTATTTTTCTTACAGTATAAAAAGTACTATCAAAACTTGTGACGTATGGCTTTTTTCTTTTTTGGGTGAAGTGTCCAGGTCGCTCAAAGCTCCTAGGATAGATGTTTCTGTAAGAAAAAAAAATTGAGATTCAATAAAAAGTACACTTTCAAATCGGAGCTCTGGTGAAGCAAATTTATACTTACACTTCTTCTTGCGGAGAAGGCTGGTGTAGTCGCCAAGGGTACCGAGACCATAACCGTAGTTGAGGCCGTAGCTGCCCAGACCGTGTCCGTAGCCGTAGTGGCCGACACCGTATCCGAGGTTGCTGACGCCATAGCCGTAGACTGGGGCGGCATGGGCCACTGTGGCGAAAGCTGGGGCAGCGGCGTAGGTCTGGTAGCTGGCAACAGCTGGGGCGTGTGCCACGGCAACAGCTGGAGCGTGGGCCACAGCAACAGCTGGAGCGTGGGCCACGGCAACAGCTGGAGCAGCGGCGTAAGTGGCAACAGCTGGGGCAGCGTGGTAAGAGGTGGACACGGTGCGGGTCACAGCGGGAGCGGCAGCGTAGGTGGCGACAGCGGGGGCGGCAGCAACGACTGGAGCAGACTGGTAGACCCTAGTAACAGCTGGAGCGGTCTGGTAGGTGGCAAACTTGGTCACAGCTGGAGCAGCAGCCACAACTGGGGCGGACTGGTAGACCCTGGTCACGGCTGGAGCAGCCTGGTAGGTGGCAATAGCTGGAGCAGCCTGGTAGGTGGCAACCTTGGTCACGGCTGGGGCGGACTGGTAGACCCTGGTCACAGCTGGGGCAGCCTGGTAGGTGGCAAACTTGGTCACGGCTGGGGCGGCTTGGTAGGTGGCAAACCTGGTCACAGCTGGGGCAGCAGCCACAACTGGGGCAGACTGGTAGACCCTGGTAACGGCTGGAGCAGCCTGGTAGGTGGCCACAGCTGGAGCAGCCTGGTAGGTGGCAACCTTGGTGATGGCTGGAGCGGACTGGTAGACCCTGGTGACAGCTGGAGCAGCCTGGTAAGTGGTGGCAACCTTAGTGACAGCTGGAGCTGCCTGGTACACCTGAGCGACAGCTGGGGCGGCCTGGTAAGTAGCGACCCTGGTCACGGCTGGAGCGGCCTGGTAGGTGGTGAGAGCTGGGGCGGCCTGGTAGGTAGCGACCCTGGTGACGGCTGGTGCAGCAGCGTAAGTGGCCACGGCCGGAGCATGAGCAACGGCAGCAACAGCTGGGGCAGCATGGTAGGAGGTGGACACGGTGCGAGCAACGGCTGGAGCCGCGACAGCGTAGCTAGCTGCTGGGGCGTAGCCAAAGCCAGTCACACCGGAGTAAGCGACGCCGTGGTTAAGGCCAACAGCGTGGGCGAGGCCTGCTCCATAACCATAGCCTGCTCCGTAACCAAGGCCTGCTCCGTAGCCAAGGCCAGCTCCGTAACCGAGACCGGCTCCGTAGCCGAGCCCGGTGCTGTAGGTAAGAGCGGCTCCGTGACCGAGGCCAGCGTCACCGTGGTACAGGCCAGCGAGGGCGCCGGTGGCCAAGGCGAGGACGAGGCAAGCGCGGAACTGGAAGAAAAATAAATATGGAATAATGACCGATCGCCATAGAATTTATAATTGTGCTTTTTACGAAAAATAAAAACAAAGGAAAATGAAAGAAAAACTTGATTAGTGCGGCAGCAAGAGAGAGCTGGTTTGTGATTTCGATCTACCTATGGCTTTCTTATATATTTGCGTGAGTGAATAAACAAAAGTTCCCCGGCATTTTGAAGGCGCTTCCAGTAATTTGTAGAGTGGCGTGCATAGGGGCACCTTTGGTATAGATAAAACTCGAGGAACATGCATAAAATTGGTTAGTAAGAATAAAAGTACAACAGAACCAGAAGAAATAATAACCAGGAAAATATGAAAAAGACGGGCATTCGCAAAATTATAAAGAATTGAAATGAGCGTCTTGTTGGATAATTATGCTTCGTGCAATAATGTTCTAATAATAATAATAATGCGAGATTGCATTTGGTAAATGCTACATTTCGAGTAATAAAAAGTCTTCAAGGAACAAATATGCTCCTGGAGACCTAAACAACACATTTTTTTAAAATAAGCGACCTTGCTTTAAGGACTGATACAACAATATTAGAGGAATCATTTTACGCTCCATAGATCTAGATTTTAACTAATTAATATAAATTCCAGAAGTCCTCTGTTTTGTAAAGTACATTGGATACGACTTCACGCCCAGCGTTCTGTTCGCTTTAGGCTCAAGGGCTAGAGGGAATAGGGTGAATATGTGCTCGAAAACGCTCTCAGGTGTCCTACCATGGTTGAAGTGAAGCAGATGGAGGATCAGGAGCTGATGATCCGAACACTGCGTCTGGCGGCTTTTATATCCGAGCTCGGGGAGAGAAGGAGAAGAGGATATGGAACTCTGAATCCAGTCTCAGACGCTGCATCCGGGTTTGGAAACATTTTGGAGCACGAAAAATGCTTTAGGCTGTTTTGCGTAAGGACGAATAATGAAGTCATATTTTTCAGTGTTTGCTGAAGGTCACAATTTGGTTTTACCTGTGGTTACGTGGTTTTTATCTTTATGAGCCGTCTAGACTAAGCACGTTCTTGTCCATGGGTGACGTAATACCGTTCGCACCGTTTTCTCTTCTATTCAGCGTTGACGCCTTAGGCGTGATCCCGTTCCAGAATGCCCCGCACGCCTCCCTTGTCAGTGCCCCTTGTGGACTTAAGAAACAATTTGCGGCGGATTTCACTTTTGTCAACGTGCTATTTTGCATTTTAGGTGCCGAGAAGTAGCCTGATATTAAAGTTGGTATGCGCCTTATGCATACCTCCATCTTTCGAACGTCTAAAGAGGAAGTCGTAAAGCGGGTTTTGTTAGTGAGCTAGGCTTTTAATTTTGCGAAACCAGAAAGGTATGCCGATGGACGTCACCAGGTAGAGTCGTTAGAAAATCGTTAGGCCAAGCCATGTTCAGTTATTGAGTTGCTCGAGAAGTCGATCATCCTCTACTTTCAAATACGCGCAAAATAATAAAAAAAAAAACGTGTCCAATATGCTCTTCATCGAACAGTAATAGTTCTTTTGTTCGTTTTTTTTTTCTTCGTTTTTTTTAGTGGCACTGGGGCCAAATGGTCTAGTTCATTAATGCAATGCTTGTTCGTTCAACTGCTCCCTGCAGCAATGAGTGGCTTCGCCAGCAATATGCGACAAGCTAAGTATAAATTAGAGCGAATGTCGTTCTCGGATGTAGGGACAGCTGAATAAAGGAGGACATGTAGTGTGAAGGTGAAACGTGGATTAAAGTGTCTAGACACCGCATAAATTACATTTTGAAACATCTACGCAGGTTTTCTCATGAATACAAAATGCTCTGCGACTTTTGAAATTAGAATTAGGGCACGGAAGAAATTAAAATTCAGAAAAGGGCAAACAAGAACGCGTGCGCCTTTCACTAGGATCTTCTTGGTTTAACGTGATGCCCTTGTCAACTTTGGACCCCGAATAAGTTAGTTATCACAAGCTTGGAGCAAATTACCTTTGTTCTAAAAATGCTTGAAAATCAGTGGCAACCTTAAGGTCAGTAGAATGCAGTTTCGTGCAATAGAAATATTGAATTTATATGTTTTTTATATTACAACGGAAATTCCACACGCCATCCTCACATGCGCACCGCAAATAGCATGTTCTGACTTTGATTTATTTATCATTATCTTATTTATTAAAAACATCAATTTGCATTTTTCGTCCCTTTTTAAAAATGGGATCTGTGTCATGTTTTTAGGGTACTTGTGAGATGGTTAATGACTTCGTTTGATCTATCACGTTCCCATTAACATAAACAATGTTAACTTATTCAGATTCTAAACTCATCCTTAATCTTACACAGAAGAAAATAGGAAAAGATGAACCACTTGGTGGATTCCATAAAAGAATAAAAGCGCCAGAGAACACGTCAAAGGGGGATAGACGCAGGACGGACGAAGAATGGCGCCACAAATAAAAAGTAATTGCGAATTTGGTAGTCCGCAAACACGTCTGCCATTTGTACTTTGGCACGTTGCTTAGTCTTTCTCCCCCCCCCCTAAAGAAACAAAAAAACTCAATACAACTTTATTTGTTAAAAAATATGCCCCACCGAACTGGCCACTCGGTGAAATATTGAGGTCTCTACAAGCAGGCGCCGCCTCGTTCGGCTTTTTTTACTGCGCTAGAATAAATTGCACAAACCTAGTAAAACGTCCCTTGGCACTGCCAGCTGTGCCCGCCCCAACATGGTTGTATTACCGAGGGCAATTATTTTGAAATAATTCATCGTATCTCCGTGGCACGGTTTGGAAACGAACCTTGAATGTTTTAAAATACTCTGGCAACGGTCAGTGTCCGTAAACACAACATGGGAGTTATTTCTATGGGCCGTCAAGTGCTCTATAGTAAATATTTTGGAAGTTGCAAAAGTGGGGCGCGTCTTGAAGTAGTGCACTACATGCATACTTGACATCGTTATGTTCGCAGATGGAATGAAAGATTCCCGGTCACTTTGTGCTATATGCGAGGCTCAAAACGTGAGCTAAATCTTCGTTAGTTGATATTGAATCAGCACATTCCAGAAAGATGGCTGTAACACAAACCGAAAATTTGTTTAAATGGCAAGACATCAATGGATCTTTTATCAGTAAGTTTTTTAGCATGCGTACACCCTCTCCCTTCACCTCGCTTCGCGTTTTCGCCATTTTTAGAGGCCACTGTCCCCGCATTACCAACATTTCCAGCACCTATCTGGTCGCGCATTTTGTTTTTTTCTGAGAATTCTTTTTCTTTTTTTTTAATATCCGTAGAATGGGGCATGAAATGCAAAAAAAACAACTATAATGGCATTATATCAATGTACTCTGACGAGCGTAGGCATCTTTGTTTGCACTTCATTTGTAGTTCGCCGGCAAACTCCCAGGCCTCACTCATCACAAAAAAGAAAGCCAGTTTCAAAACAAGAATTGGGCGTGTGCGGATATGTGGAGTTTATTGGATTTAAAATCCGGATTACGTAAACTAGTATAGGAAAGCAAGTTGTCTCATTGAGTTTTTAATAGGGCTATGTAATTGATCGATTAACCTCCATATTAACCGATTAATGCTATAATCTCGATAAATCTTCTACCGTTCAATCGGTAAACTTTGGACGAACCAAAAAAAAGAGTAAAGATTTAACGTTTTTATTACGCAGATAAAGGCGAGTAAACCTCTATGAAGAGGAAATTTTAGATAAAAGTTCAGACGAAATTAAAGCCTAGGGGCGAGATTTGTAACTCCAGACAATTGCAGAAGGTTAAACGTGTCGCGGCCACTTCAGCGCCGTTCGAGTGTCTGTTTAGCGCAGCACAGACTACTGTGAACCGAAAAGGAACCGGTTGTAACGCGTAGAAGCCGCCAAGTGGCAGAGGTCATAACCAAGCTAGCCACCAATCAGCTTTGCCTGTGCTGGCCCAAATTACGTCATGTTTGTGACGTCAGTTGGTCCATCTCCCGTGGTGCATCGCGCTCTTCGATGGCTGTTCTTCCAACGATCGCTGGAATCGCTCCTTTGGAAAACAGAATGTAGCCATCCGTGCAAAATACAAGCATGTGATTGTCATTACCAGACAAAGTTGATCACGTTTAACTTACTTCTGAACGTGAGTGGTATATATTGCGTTTCAATTCAGCATCCAGTTAAACAGCAGCCTTGAATCACGGGTATTCATGATTGGGCGGATACTCTCCGTGATTTATATTAGCCTGAATCAAATTATAGCTGCGTAGAAGAAATATTGAAATGGACGTGAAAGCTGCACTATTTTCCAACTGCTATCTCAGAAACGGTAGTGAAGATAAGCAATAGTCAGCAGTTATGAAAAATGAAGCCGTTGGGAAGATTGCGGGATTACTTCGGGGTTGGTTTCCGATTGCTCAAAGAGCTCCCAAAAAATAAAAATAAACTGTGACGGTCGGGAAGGAGAGTGATTAAAAAAAATGTTGAAGATATCTTTTAGAACAGATGAACGATTGTTGAGAGAAGAATGTAGTCATAACACAACTTTAAGTTTACGAACACGTAAATTAATTTTGGATGCTTTTGACTTGAGAAGGTTTCGAAGGGCATATTCAATAATTTATTGCGTCTTAATTTTGATTTATGTTTGGCTCTTGCCCTATATCCTTTACGTTAACAAACCCAGATTGCTTGATCTTTTAAATTACACCTCTAAAGTTTGAACGCTCGATTATTTTGAATAAATATGTATAGGATTTCGAATCTATACTTTTAAAAATAAATATATCAAACATGAATTAATCAGAAGGACATGAATGCGACTTCAAAATACTATCCAAAAGACATACAAAGATAATAATTCAGTGAAAATCAACTCACACCCCGAAAACTTGTTGTTCTTTTCCTGTGTAACTTTTTTAGTTCCCCAGAAGGAAGTCACATATTTATATTATTGCATTTACAAGACTGCTTTGAAGGTTTCTGAAGTGGCATACTATATGTTAGTATCTAAAAAGATATATACCACACAATTAAAAATATTATCACAATTATGCCAAAACAAAACTTGATGTTCTCGCCTCTGATGCCATCAAAAATGTGCACGTAGAGCAACCATTAATCAAAAGGAACGCTACTGCCCAATTACTCGCGAAGAATACTTTCATCTGTACAAATAAAACAAAGCAAGAACGCACAGACATATCAAAGAAGAACACGCTGATGTATCCATTTATTGGTCGTGTTTCCATTGTTCTGTCTGTTAATGTTTAATGTGTGCCGACTCACAGAACTACAAATGGTACTACAAGTTTACCAAGGAATGTGTACGTCTACAATATATATAGAGTCGGCGACAACACGCGCAATAATAACGAACCAACCAAATAAAAATATACGGTGCCTAAATGACAACTTAATTATATACCAATATACGGGTGGCGTATCACGTCCAATACAGTTTGCGTAATTCTGAAGTTAATTACACTATATGGCACAAAATCGTGTCCTGTTGGAAAAAGACGAAGGATCCGACTTCATTCGATCAAGTGAGAAGCATTAATAAGAAAATTAACGCAAATGAGCTAATGCTCTTCGGAACGATGGTGTAACCAATGTGGAAAAAAAACTTAAACTTCACTTTTTCGTTTTCACCAGCCTTGAAAACCTTCCGCTTTAAATGTAAGTTTCATTTTTTTTGCTGTTTTATCATCTCGGAGAATTGTTCATTACACAAGAAGCTGGGTTTTACAAATGAGTTGGTACATCTTTTAACGGGTTTATTATGTAACTATTATTTGAGTGTATTTAACCACCATTAAACTATTAAATAGCTTCGTGTTGAAGAAGAAAAAGG